AGGGCTGAAATGCAGTGGAAATGTTTTTTGGGGATTAAGTTCATTTTCATGGCAAAGAGGGACTTTGCAATTAATTGCAATTCATCTGATCACTCTTCATGACATTCTGGAGTATATGCAAATTGTTGGTTTAGTTGTCACCTAAATGTGTTATCACTGCGCTTTCAGCCATTTAAAAAAAGCACAACAAAGTTCAAATGGGAATACAATGCCAGATATTTCTTTATTTATACAACAACTTAATGTGTTCTCACTGTGCTTAATCTAATAGCACAACCAAATGACCTGGATTGCAGTTGAGATTAAATGAAAATTACATGGTGCAAGTGATCAATGCTGTTAGAGATTCTGCACAGATTATTATAGCAATTGCGAAGAGATCCACAGACCTGCAACCTTCGCATGCTATCTTGAACATGCATGCTTTGAATACATAAGAAGACATTTCAAGTTACAGTAACCTCAAAATGTGGCCATGGATATGTAGCTCATTTTAAGGTTGAATAAATACTGTTACTTTAGTTTGTAAAATAGCCTTAACTTTAAGATATTTACTGTATTACAAAAGTAATATTGAATTGTGTTTGGTTGAAAACACAACCAAATATCAACATTTGAAGGAGATGATCTTCTGCTTGGATAGTTTCATTTGTGCCACTGACTAAAGGGCTGGATTCAATCAGAACTGTGTTGGAGCTGTCAAATCCACAAGTGGCTTGTTGCCTTGCCTTATCATGGACACCGCCATTAGATGCAACGAAACCACACCCGACTATAAACCGACAAAATCCCACGCAGCCGCGTTACAAGTTCAAACACTTGAATTAGACTGATAGGCTATAAATCGCCTCATCCAAATGTACATGAAAACATTGCATTAGCATATGCCTGTCTCAAAGATCAAGCCCATGCAAGTCTAAGTACACATACGGTGAAACTGCGAATGGCTCATTGGTTTGACATCAATGGCTTGACATTTGAGAGTTATTTCTAACGTTGATAGAGCCTACACTTAATTGCAACCGTTTTGAACTTCTTCTAACGGCGGTAGGGATCATAAGGAAGGTAGTGGTTTGTGACAGACAAGAGCAGCCGCTCACCGATATGTCCTCATACCGCAGATACAGCTCCAACACCATCAGAACATCTGCTATGCGGATGTCGGCCAACGATGGTTAACGCTGGTTAACGCTCGATCTGAATGAATCTGGGCCTGGTTTTAATTCCAGTTTATCTACAAATTAATAATTGATATGTTGGATTCACGCCTCCATCAAAACCAAAAATAAAAGTCAAATCAGACCAATCTTTAATAAAGTACTATTATTTAACTTAGATTTTTGGATGAGATCGAGAAGTGAATCCAATATATTCATTATTAACTTTTAGATTACATTTGAAATCAACCAAAGCTTGAAACCCTACACTTGGAAAAAAAGGGTTCCAAAAGGGTTCTGCGGCTGTTCCATAGGAGAACCCTTTTTGGTTTCAGGTAGAACCCTTTTTGGTTCCAGGTAGAACTCTTCTGGGTTCCAGGTAGAACCCTCTGTGGAAAGGGTTCTACATAGAACCCAAAGGGTTCTACCTGGAACCTAAAGGAGGTTCTTCAAAGGGTTATCCTATGGGGACAGCCCGATGAACTGTTTTTGGTTCTAGATATCACCTTTTTTCTTAGAGTGTAGGCCTATGTGTATTGTCTATTTCTAGTTGAATCCTGGGTTGAATTGAAACAATAGCTGTTGTTGACTTTGCAAATACTATATACAGTGAGGGAAAAAAGTATTTGATCCCCTGCTGATTTTGTACGTTTGCCCACTGACAAAGACATGATCAGTCTATAATTTTAATGGTAGGTTTATTTGAACAGTGAGAGACAGAATAACAATAAAAAAAAAACGCATGTCAAAAATGTTAGAAATGGATTTGCATTTTAATGAGGGAAATAAGTATTTGACCCCTCTGCAAAACATGACTTAGTACTTAGGGCAAAACCCTTGTTGGCAATCACAGAGGTCAGACGTTTCTTGTAGTTGGCCACCAGGTTTGCACACATCTCAGGAGGGATTTTGTCCCACTCATCTTTGCAGATTTTCTATGGGATTAAGGTCTGGAGACTGGCTAGGCCACTCCAGGATCTTAATGTGCTTCTTCTTGAGCCACTCCTTTGTTGCCTTGGCCGTGTGTTTTGGGTCATTGTCATGCTGGAATACCCATCCACGACCCATTTTCAATGCCCTGGCTGAGGGAAGGAGGTTCTCACCCAAGATTTGACGGTACATGGCGCTGTCCATCGTCCCTTTGATGCGGTGAAGTTGTCCTGTCCCCTTAGCAGAAAAACACCCCCAAAGCATAATGTTTCCACCTCCATGTTTGACGGTGGGGATGGTGTTCTTGGGGTCATAGGCAGCATTCCTCCTCCTCCAAACACGGCGAGTTGAGTTGATGCCAAAGAGCTCGATTTTGGTCTCATCTGACCACAACACTTTCACCCAGTTCTCCTCTGAATTATTCAGATGTTCATTGGCAAACTTCAGACGGGCCTGTATATGTGCTTTCTTGAGCAGGGGGACCTTGCGTGCGCTGCAGGATTTCAGTCCTTCACGGCGTAGTGTGTTACCAATTGTTTTCTTGGTGACTATGGTCCCAGCTGCCTTGAGATCATTGACAAGATCCTCCTGTGTAGTTCTGGGCTGATTCCTCACCGTTCTCATGATCATTGCAACTCCACGAGGAGAGATCTTGCATGGAGCCCCAGGCCGAGGGAGATTGACAGTTATTTTGTGTTTCTTCCATTTGCCAATAATTGCACCAACTGTTGTCACCTTCTCACCAAGCTGCTTGGCGATGGTCTTGTAGCCCATTCCAGCCTTGTGTAGGTTTACAATCTTGTCCCTGACATCCTTGGAGAGCTCTTTGGTCTTGGCCATGGTCGAGAGTTTGGAATCTGATTGATTGATTGCTTCTGTGGACAGGTGTCTTTTATACAGGTAACAAGCTGAGATCAGGAGCACTCCCTTTAAGAGTGTGCTCCTAATCTCAGCTCGTTACCTGTATAAAAGACACCTGGGAGCCAGAAACCTTTCTGATTGAGAGGGGGTCAAATACTTATTTCCCTCATTAAAATGCAAATCAATTTATAACATTTTTGACATGTGTTTTTCTGGATTGTTTTGTTGTTATTCTGTCTCTCACTGTTCAAATAAACCTACCATTAAAATTATAGACTGATCATTTCTTTGTCAGTGGGCAAACCTACAAAATCAGCAGGGGATCAAATACTTTTTTCCCTCACTGTAGGCCTAAATAGTATCGTTGATGATATATGACTTATAAAGTAAGGTTTCATTTAATTTGCTCTGTTAAACATACCCTTTGGAATGACTTCCATAGCAACAGTGAATGTATTTAGTTTTTAAGTGGAGATTTTTCAACAATCATTCTCACGATACCACATCGGTAGTATTCAGTGACAAATATCAAAGCTAAGCTGGGCTTGGTTAAAGCCCTGGATGGGAGACCAAAGGGATAGCTGTAGATAGATCGACTCTCCAGTAGGAGGTGCTACCCAGCCTATTGTTTTTTATTTTTTCTGCTAGTGAATATAACGTTGAAGATCTGACGTTGTTTCAAAGGTACAAATGTAACATATTTTATACAAGGTTTGTATGTTGAAAATGTATTACAATGATGACATAATCCTGTGGTTGAAATTCCACCCTCAAAACAACAGTTAACTTTGATGAGTTTTTTGCAAACTCTATGTATTTTACACGTAGATTCCACGTCACAATACATTGACAAATGATGTTGAAAAAACATTGATTCAACCAGTTTGTGCCCAGTGGGCATGTACAGTACACAGACATGTGACCACAGGTAAGAGTCTTCTCTTCATGTTAGATTAACAGACTCCACAAAGAAGAAGGTAAACGTCCCAACATGGTCAAAAGACGTGCACTACAAAGGGAACAAGGTGCCATTTGTGACACACACAACCAAGGGAGCTAGATTATTAAACAAACACACAGTTCAATTGTTTATGTACAAACAAACAAACAAACAAACAAACAAACAGAGTCCATATGTAAACAGGTCATACATCCTCCCAGTCCCAGCAGTTATTGGTGCAACATAGCAGGGTTGGGGTGAATTCGAATTGAAGGTAGTCATTTCAGGAAGTAAACTGAAATTCCAATCCCAATAATCGAAAAAGGCCATATATTTTCAATAACTTCTCAAGAAACTATAAGTAAAAGCTATTTATTTCAAACGTTTTTTTTTTCAATTGATTGAAGTTTAAATTCAAATCACTTCCTGAATTGACTATCTTCCATTAGAATTGACCCCAACCCTGCTAGAAGACACATTTCAGTTGAATGCATTCAGTTGTACAACTGACTAGGTATCCCCCTTTCCCTTTCCTTTACATGGTAAGTACTGTAGTGGATGAGATGGGTGAGGGGAGTTTCTCCCATACTGTACAGTGAAGAGCTTGGAGCTTTGAGCACAAATCAATATTGTCCCCAAAGAGCAATGAATTTGCAGCAGTAATAGTCTCAAACAGCCCTCTCCAGGGTCCTGGTCTTAATGGTATTAAATGAATGGTTCATTATGGAGTAGTAGTCTAGCCCACTGGCTGGAGACGCAGGGAGGTGTCGAGAGAGGAGCAATAGATACTCTTACTCCCAGGGTAGAGGTGGAGAGGTGGATGGAGGTAAGCTATATCCTCTCCTTCTCTAGGTGGAGAGAGGCCTTCATATCTCAGTCAGGGGGATTCAGGGGGCGGTAAAATATATCCTCTCCTTCTCTAGGTGGAGAGATGCCTTCATATCTCAGTCAGTGGGATTCAGGGGGCGGTAAAATATATCCTCTCCTTCTCTAGGTGGAGAGATGCCTTCATATCTCAGTCAGTGGGATTCAGGGGGCGGTAAAATTAATACTGCCCTTCCTCTACTCCCCTCTCTCCCCCTTTCTACCCACAGTCAGGATCCTCTCCTCTCTCACCCATAGCGAGGGTCCATATCAGTAGGTAGACTGGGGGGTGATAGAATGTATTCCGTGAGGCCTCCATGTATAGTAGAGGAGGTCAGGCTCTTCCTGTTCTTCTTCATGGCCGACCTTCTCTGCCAGCGACACAGCAGTACCTCCACCTGTTATTGTTAAACATATGACAGAAGAAATAAATACACATTTTAAATAAATCATTTCACATACATTCTCAGGTCGTTATTGTGAAAGAGAATGTGTTCTCAATGACTTACCTGGTTGCAGTTTTTCTGTGGTTAAACGTACTGTTGGAGACCATTATTCCCCGAGCACCTTGTTAATTAGCATGTCAGTAGTAATAATCATGTTATGGGTTAGGGCTGACAGATTGTAAATGACTGTTTTACAGTTTTTGACTGTTTTACAGTTGTATGAAAAAGTTTGGGCACCCCTCTGAGGCTGCATAATAATTGACTCTGTCGTCACAGAAAATGATCACAGTGGTATGCCATTCATTTTCTAATAAAAGCTGAGTACTGGGGTATTGTCCAGACAAGGATTTTTAGTGTAGCAATATTAAGTTGTATGAAATTAAATCAGATGTGAAAAATAGGCTATGCAAAAATTTGGGCACCCTTGTCATTCTGTTGATATGAATACCTGTAACTACTTAGCACTGATTAATTGGAACACACAATTGGTTTGGTGAGCTCATTAAGCCTTGAACTTCATAGACAAGTGCATCCAATCATGAGAAAAGGTATTTAAGGTGGCCAATTGCAAGTTATTGTTCTCTTTGACTCTCCTCTGAAGAGTGGCAACATGGGGGCCTCAAAACAACTCTCAAATGACCTGAAAACAAAGATTGTTCAACATTATGGTTTAGGGGAAGGCTACAAAAAGCTATCGCAGAGATGTAAGCTGTCAGTGTCCACCGTGAGGAACATAGTGAGGAAATGGAAGACCACAGGCACAGTTCTTGTTAAGGCCAGAAGTGGCAGGCCAAGTTAAATATCGGAGAGGCAAAAGCGAAGGATGGTGAGAACGGTCAAAAACAGCCCACAGACCACCTCCAAAGACCTACAACATAATCTTGCTGCAGATGGTGTCACTGTGCATCGTTCAACAATTCAGCGCACTTTGCACAAGGAGAAGCTGTACAGGAGAGTGATGCGGAAGAAGCCTTTTCTGCACACACACCACAAACAGAGTCGCTTGAGGTATGCAAACGCACATTTGGACAAGCCAGCTTCATTTTGGAATAAGGTGCTGTGGACTGATGAAACAAAGATTGAGTTATTTGGTCATAACAAGGGGCGTTATGCATGGCGGCAAAGGAACACAGCGTTCCAAGAAAAACACTTGCTACCCACAGTAAAATTTGGTGGGGGTTCCATCATGCTGTGGGGCTGTGTGGCCAGTGCCGGTACTGGGAATCTTGTTAAAGTTGAGGGTCGCATGGATTCCACTCAATATCAGCAGATTCTTGGGAATAATGTTGACGAATCAGTCACAAAGTTTAAGTTACGCCGGGGCTGGATATTTCAACAAGACAACGACCCAAAACACTGCTCAAAATCTACCCGGGCATTTATGCAGAGGAACAAGTACAATGTTCTGGAATGGCCATCCTAGTCCCCAGACCTGAATATCATTGAGAATCTGTGGGATGATTTGAAGCGTGCTGTCCATGCTCGGCAACCATCAAACCTAACTGAACTGGAGATGTTTTGTAAGGAGGAATGGTCCAAAATACCTTCATCCAGAATCCAGACACTCATTAGAGGCTATAGGAAGCGTCTAGAGGCTGTTATTTCAGCAAAAGGAGGCTCTACTAAATATTGATGTGATTTTTCTGTTGGGGTGCCCAAATTTATGCACCTGTCTAATTTCATTTTGATGCATATTGCACATTTTCTGTTAATCCAATAAACCTAATTTCACTACTGAAATATTACTGTGTCCATCACTTATTTGATAGATCAAAATGAAATTGCTGATCCAAAACACCCAATTATTTATAAATGGAAATCATGGAGATTGTCAGGGGTGCCCAAACTTTTTCATACGACTGTATATCTTTACTGTTTTATATAATGATATGCTCTTAGTATGAATAGATGGTTTTTATACATCCATAGAGATTGAAAGTAGTGTTAGGTTTAAGCTCTTTGTGTATGATAAAGTGCAATTATGTAGTGGACTGCAGTGGACTATAGGAATGTGTACTCCCCACAACTCAAGGCCTCTTCTGACTGATGAGAAGACCTGTGATATGCTCAGAGGAGCACAGATAAATACTGGATGATGGAAAAGTACTGAAACACATCTTTGTGGAAGGGAGGGGGTGAGAGCTAAGGGTATAAATGGACACTGCACTGTACTGAATGCATGTTCTCAGCTGAAGCATTCAGTCGGGTGTAATAAATCTAGTTTTAGCGTTTTTTGGTGTCCGCCTGGAGTTTCGTAACAGAAATCTAGAACCTAACAGTACCTATGGCAAAACAAAAATGATCAAATGCTCAAATACATTTGCAGATTGCCTGATAATTGTCTTGTTTTGTACCTGGAGTTCGTATCTTAAGATTCACTTTTGCTCAACTTTAAATACAATTGTCATCAATTAATAAACAAAAATTCACTGTCAAATGTTTTGTTTACGGAATATCAAAACGCTGTTTTTAACAGAAGAGAAAAAGTTGCAATCGGTAAATGCTACTGCACAAAACTGTAAATGGTTTCATCAGTAGTACGCCAGGTAGAATATAGGGACAGGGGACTGTCTAATTTCTATGATCCTTTACAACATCGGGGATATGCAGAGATGCAGAGAATGAAGTTGAGTTACTTCTAAAATACTTCTAAGACAAGTCATCATCTCCAACGTTGTGACCTTCCATAACAGAGCTTCGCTTTGATGGGGATTTCAAATCAAATCAAATCAAATTTTCATTGTCACATGCGCCAAATACAATAGGTGTAGTAGACCTTACAGTGAAATACTTTCATTTTTAGATAAAACTATACTAAATATATTCAAGTCACCAAATAGTTGATTAAAACACACTGTTTTGCAATGGTCTGTAGTAGCCTTAACATCACTCTCTGTGGTACCACCATGGTGTAGCCAGAGGACAGCTAGTTTCCGTCCTCTGGGTCCATTGACATTTCAATTTCAAAACCTAGGAGGCTCATGGTTCTCACCAGGGCATAAAATTAACTTTTTGGTCCACCAACCACTGTGGCAAGTAAATAAAAAAATCTACCAGCCAATCAGATTTTTTACCAGCCAAAATATTATTATTTTTATCTAAAATTACACCAACAACCAAGTAGACTAAAACAAAACAGAAACTGATGAGCATGCTCTGTAATGTTTCTAAAACAATACATGTACAGTGCCTTGCAAAAGTATTCATCCCCCTTCGCGCTTTTCCTATTTTGTTGCATTACAACCTGTAATTTAAAGGGATTTTTAATTGGATTTCATGTAATGGACATACACAAAATAGTCAAAATTGGTGAAGTGAAATGAAAAAGATGACTTGTTTCAAAAAATAAATAACGGAAAAGTGGTGCGTGCATATGTTTTCACCCCCTTTGCTATGAAGCCCCTAAATAAGATCTGGTGCAACCAATTACCTTCAGAAGTCACATAATTAGTTAAATAAAGTCCACCTGTGTGCAATCTAAGGGGGGGGGGGGGGGGGGGGTGAATAGTTATGCACGCTCAAATTTTCTGTTTTTTTTTGGTCTTATTTCTTGTTTGTTTCACAAGAAAAAATATTTTGTATCTTCAAAGTGGTAGGCATGTTGTGTAAATCAAATGATTCAAACCCCCCCAAAATTAATTTTAATTCCAGGTTGTAAGGCAACAAAATAGGAAAAATGCCAAGGGGGTTGAATACTTTCGCAAGCCACTGTATTACTAGTAAGAAGTAATCTGACCTGAGTCTTAACCAAAATATCACAAATTAAGGCCGGGAGGTTACCTTGGTAACGCGACTAGTCATGGTTCTACTGTGAGATTGAGTCTGACTAGTGGAAGCGTTGTCTTCTCTTCCCTAGCAGTTGAAACTCAAACATAGAGAAACAACTTAGCTTGTGAGCAAAACAATGTAAATAGCCAAGAAACACAAGGACAAAGTCTCACTTCAGTAGACTTTTGTTTCAAGTAAATTAGACCAACTTTTATGCCTGTGCGCAACGCTTCTAAAAATGAATCTTTCACTCAGTTCTTTATGTCCGCACAGCCCCCAGCCAGGCAGTGTTGCAGAAATACTTTGAAAACAGCTACTGCAGCATTTATTTTACTATAAATGTGATCATACTTGACTATTTTTTATTCACAAATGCTAGTGAAATACTTGCACTGTGGAGCCCTGACCACCCGCAAACGTAGCTGGTGAAATAGACATCTTACCTGCCAATGCCAAAATCTACCCGCATTTGGTAGGTGGCGGGTGCTAATTTTAGGCCCTGCTTCTCACCCCTTCCATTGACTTACACAGTAATTATGACACCTTCCGGAGGACATCCTCCAACCTATCAGAGCTCTTGCAGTATGAACTGACATGTTGTTCACCCAATCAAAGGATCAGAGAATGAATCTAGTACTGAAAGCATAAGCTACAGCTAGCTAGCACTGCAGTGCATAAAATGTGGTGAGTAGTTGACTCAAAGAGAGAGAAAGAAAATAGTTGAAGAGTTTTGAACAAATTCAGTTCTTACAAAATGAAGGAGAAGCGAGAGAGAGAGAGAGAGCTACAGTGAGGGAAAAAAAGTATTTGATCCCCTGCTGATTTTGTACGTTTGCCCACTGACAAAGAAATGATCAGTCTATCATTTTAATGGTAGGTTTATTTGAACAGTGAGAGACAGAATAACAACAAAAAAATCCAGAAAAACGCATGTCAAAAATGTTATAAATTGATTTGCATTTTAATGAGGGAAATAAGTATTTGACCCCCTCTCAATCAGAAAGATTTCTGGCTCCCAGGTGTCTTTTATACAGGTAACGAGCTGAGATTAGGAGCACACTCTTAAAGGGAGTGCTCCTAATCTCAGTTTGTTACCTGTATAAAAGACACCTGTCCACAGAAGCAATCAATCAATCAGATTCCAAACTCTCCACCATGGCCAAGACCAAAGAGCTCTCCAAGGATGTCAGGGACAAGATTGTAGACCTACACAAGGCTGGAATGGGCTACAAGACCATCGCCAAGCAGCTTGGTGAGAAGGTGACAACAGTTGGTGTGATTATTCGCAAATGGAAGAAACACAAAATAACTGTCAATCTCCCTCGGCCTGGGGCTCCATGCAAGATCTCACCTCGTGGAGTTGCAATGATCATGAGAACGGTGAGGAATCAGCCCAGAACTACACGGGAGGATCTTGTCAATGATCTCAAGGCAGCTGGGACCATAGTCACCAAGAAAACAATTGGTAACACACTACGCCGTGAAGGACTGAAATCCTGCAGTGCCCGCAAGGTCCCCCTGCTTAAGAAAGCACATATACATGCCCGTCTGATGTTTACCAATGAACATCTGAATGATTCAGAGGAGAACTGGGTGAAAGTGTTGTGGTCAGATGAGACCAAAATGGAGCTCTTTGGCATCAACTCAACTCGCCATGTTTGGAGGAGGCAGAATGCTGCCTATGACCCCAAGAACACCATCCCCCTCCGTCAAATATGGAGGTGGAAACATTATGCTTTGGGGGTGTTTTTCTGCTAAGGGGACAGGACAACTTCCCTCAGCCAGGGCATTGAAAATGGGTCGTGGATGGGTATTCCAGCATGACAATGACCCAAAACACACGGCCAAAGGCAACAAAGGAGTGGCTCAAGAAGAAGCACATTAAGGTCCTGGAGTGGCCTAGCCAGTCTCCAGACCTTAATCCCATAGAAAATCTGTGGAGGGAGCTGAAGGTTCGAGTTGCCAAATGTCAGCCTCGAAACCTTAATGACTTGGAGAAGATCTGCAAAGAGGAGTGGGACAAAATCCCTCCTGAGATGTGTGCAAACCTGGTGGCCAACTACAAGAAACGTCTGACCTCTGCGATTGCTAACAAGGGTTTTTGCCACCAAGTACTAAGTCATGTTTTGCAGAGGGGTCAAATACTTATTTCCCTCATTAAAATGCAAATCCATTTATAACATTTTTGACATGCGTTTTTCTGGATTTTTTTGTTGTTATTCTGTCTCTCACTGTTCAAATAAACCTACCATTAAAATTATAGACTGAAAATTTATTTGTCAGTGGGCAAATGTACAAAATCAGCAGGGGATCAAATACTTTTTTTCCCTCACTGTAGCTACATTTCCTTTTGTTTTATTTATTCACTTTTCATTTTCACTTACTTAGCTAGCGAATGCAGCTCGCTAGTTTAGCCTACTCAAACGCCCAGCTCAAACAGACAGGGATGCTATATTAGCTAGCTGGCTTTGGCTATCCAACACTGGAAGTCTTCCAAGTCAAGGTAAGCTTTTGGTTTTATACATTTATTGCCACTGGTGCCTGCCGGTGTTACTGCTAAATTACTTGCTGTACACTGTCCTGCATGATTTTAGTGGGTTTCTAGTAGCTATGTTGACTATGACATTAGCTAATATGGTGACAACGATGTAGGCTGTGTGTAGCGGTTAGCGGTTATGATATGAAGGTTTGGCTTGGAAAGGTTTTTTCGCCTGGTCACAGACAGCTTTTGTGTTGTGCACTGAAGTCCACAAGCGAAGGGAAAAGGTGAGAGGAGGAGAGCACATCTATGCGAGAAGGAATTCTACAACGAGCAAAGGGATCATGCTGTTTGTATGTGGCTGCTATGAAAGTGAGCTGTGTTTGCGGATGATCAGCGGTGTATTCATTCCAGCGATTCTGTTGAAAAACGTTTCTTAAACGGAACGAAACAGGGATAAACATACCTGCATTTTTTCCAATAGAAACTCTCGTTTGCAAGTGTTAGAATAATGATTACACCCTAGAACAGCTAGATGCAGGCAAGAGTGTGCAAGGCGGTATTAAATGTCACGGTCTCTCACCTTGATTACTAAATTTTTTCTCTCGACCTAAGCACCTACTTTGTAGATTTTCATTCGTAGGCTAGGTTGTAGCAACCTCATAGCGGGTTTACTAACGCGTTAGTTGTAGTAGCTATGTTGACTATGACGTGACAACGATGTAGGCTGTGTGTAGCGGTAAGCAGTCATGATATGAAGGTTTGGCTGGGAAAGGTTTTTCGCCTGGTTACAGACAGCTGATATGCTGTGCACTGAAGTCCACAAGTGCAGGGAAAAGGGAGAAGGAATTAAATATACAATGAGCAACGTGATCATGCTGTTTTTATATGGCTGCTACGAAAGTGGACCGTGTTTGCTTGTGATCAGGGGTATATTCATTCCGCCGATTCTGTTGAAGAAAGTTTCTTACCTAAAGCATACGGAACGAAATGGGGATAAACATACCTGAATTTGTCCAATAAAACTCTAATTTGCAACTGTTGGACTAATGATTACACCCTAGATCAGCTAGATGCAGGCAAGAGTGTGTGAAGCGGTATTGCATCTGTTACTGTCTGTCACTTTGATTACTCCAAAATTCTCTCGACCTATGAACCTACGTTGTAAACTTTCATTCATAGGCTAGGTTGTAGCAACCTCATGATGGGTATAGGGAACATTTGAGTATCACGCAGTAGCCTAAACGTATGGATGTTACATTGAGCTGGGTGAATGGAATATGAATGACAGTCTGTAATAGAAATAAGGCCCATAAAAAATAAAATTACAAAATATCGTCCTCCCTCATCTAAGAGAATGCCAAGAGTGTGCAAAGCTGTCATCAAGGCAAAGGGTGGCTACTTTGAAGAATCTCAAATATAAAATATATTTTGATTTGTTTAACACTTTTTTGGTTACTACATGATTCCATATGTGTTATTTCATAGTTCTGATGTCTTCACTATTATTCTACAATGTAGAAAATAGTAAAAATAAAGAAAACCCCTGGAGGTGTGTCCAAACCTTTGACTGGTACTGTATATATATATTTATATTTATATTATGGGTCCCTTGTAGCTCAGTTGGTAGAGCATGGCGCTTGCAACGCCAGGGTTGTGGGTTCGTTTTCCCACGGGGGGCCAGTATGAAAAACGTACGCACTCACTAACTGTAAGTCGCTCTGGATACGAGCGTCTGCTAAAAATGACTAAAATGTAAATATTTACCAGTGGTGGCAGGTAAACTGAAAGAAAAACTAGAGACTACATCCCAAATGGCACCCTATTCCCTACATAGTGCACTACTTTGGTAGGCTTGAATAACATTAAGAAGCCGCCTGACGTTGTTACGTGACTTACGACCCTTAATGAAGCCAGTTTGGTCCCCTTTCACACATAGTGGCAATGAGTCCTCTAGTCGTGTGGCTCGGATTTTAGAAAGCAATTTTCCATCCACATTCAGAAGGAAGGGACAAGAATCTGGGCATTTTCCCTTTTTGAGAATAAGTGATATGTTGGCTTCCCTCAGCGTTTTGAGGGAGGCGGTCATTTTGAAAATGAGTGGTTAAACATATCAAGCGATGGCTCAAGGATCAGAGACTCCTTATAGAACTCATTACAAAACCCGTCCGCTCCTGGGGCCCTACCATTGTATAGATTCTTTCATTGCAAAACATGATCTCTTCCTTGGTAATAGGGGCATTAAGGAGATTCTCTGTTCTTCTGGAATAGTCGGGAGCTCAATCTTAGAAAATAAGTCTATATGACCAAAGCCCTGATCAAAAGTAGTGCACTATACAGGAAATAGGGCGCCATTTGGGATGCACCCACTACCTGTTCTCTGAAGAAGCTGGTAGTCAGGGTGTAGAGGATAGGGTTCAGGGCGCTGTTGATGGGTAATATAAAGATCACCACCCAGGATGAGATGGTACCTGGAGGGGGAGGGAGAGAGAGGGAGTTAGAGGTGTGTGCATGTGGGGGGTGTGTGTGTCCTTGTGTATTACCTGCAGTGTTGGGGAGTAGTGAACTACATGTAGTGTAATTTAACTGCGTTTTGCGTTAGCTTGGTGGTAGTTGAACTAAGTTCAAATCTAGGTAGTGTTTTCAGTAGTTAATTACTTTTTTTGCCATGTAGCGGTTTAGCTAACTACTGGAACTACACACTGCTTTTTTCTCAAAAACAAAAGGAAATATGGGTGAAGTAGACAATAACTTCCTTTCTTTTTCAGCACCAGACCTGCCTGATTCTCACTTGAAACATCGTTTTTTGTGTTCAATTCCTACAGTCCATCTGTGACGCTGGTGCGTTTTTTTGGACTTCAAACCCCTTTTAAAACAGACTTCTGGGTTGGTACCATTGGATTCGTATATTTCTTCTGCATCCATTGATACCAACCATTAGTCTGTATGAGTAGCAGGTGTTTGTGAGACAAGGGGCCTGGGGGGGCGGTTCCTCTCAGAAACACGCCACACAACAGCTACAAACTATTATGACCCATCTATGACACTCACACGCCACACAACAGTAGTTAGAAGGTAAGGAGTTATTCTACATAGAAGATCATAGGAAATTCCAGGTCATACTATATAATTCATACTTATTAATAAACTCACATATTTGCCGTCACAAACTCCAACCTCCAACCTCATTGACTAGTTGGATATTCATTTCCCACTGAGCAAACCATTTCTGTACTTACAGCGTTCTTTAAATACATTTTTGATCAGGTTTTTGCTTGGCGGACATAATTTTTTTAAATTGACATTGGTCAATAAAGCTCATGAATGCAACTGATTATTTTGTGTTCTATTGTAGCCCTGGTTGTCCTGAAAATAAAATTGTAATAACGCTGTGAGGCAGATTTTTGCTGGGGTCCTCAGGCCTGATGTTATTAAGCTAAATTACACATTTTAATAACATATGACCCCAATGTGATCTGTTGTTGCAATTCATAGTCAATGACATTTCAGATTTGCATATGATAATCTTTCACTAATTCGTTTGGATGTAAGTGAACTACTTTTTCAAAGGAACTTTAGTTAAGTAAACTATATTTTTCATAGGGGTAGCTTTAGTGTAGCTTAACTTCTGTGTAAACTAATTGATAGCTTGGTAAATTATATTTTCAGAGTAGCTTCCCCAACAACGATTACCTGGTATCTCGACCTGCAGCAGGGACAGTATTTTGACCAGGAAGATGGGGATCCAGCAGAGGGCGTCAGAGAAGACGATGAAGAAGAACCTGTTAGCTACAGCCACGTCTCGGTGTAGCCTGCTCCTCAAGTCTGTAACAGAACAGCCTGTTAGCTACAGTCAGGTCTGTAAAGCTTCAACTGCAAATAATATTCAAGTATTCACACCCCTTGACTATACAGGGCCTTCAGAAAGTATTCACAGCCCTGTGCCTTCAGAAAGTGTTCACACCCCGTGAACCTATTCCACATTTTGTTGTGTTACAGCTTGAATTTAAAATAGATTAAATTGAGATTTTGTGTCTCTGGCCTACAAACAATACATTTTAGTCATTTAGCAGACACTCTTATCCAGAGCGACTTACAGTTAGTGAGTGCATATATTTTTTTTATATATTTTTTTCATACTGGTCGCTCGTGGGAATCGAACCCACAACCCTGGCGTTGCAAGCGCCATGCTCTACCAACTGAGCTACACGAGACTACATAATACCCCATAATGTCAAAGTGGAATTATGTTTTAGAAATGTTTACAATTTCAATAAGTATTCAACCACTTTGCTATGGCAAGCCTAAATAAGTTCAGGAGTACAAATGTGTTTAACAAGTCTCATAATAAGTTGCATGGACTCACTCTGTGCGCAATAATAGTGTTTAACATGATTTTTGAATTACTTGACCAGTGAATTTCAAACACATATTTAACCACAAAAGCAGACATTTATATCCCTTTTAAGCATGGGGAAGTTTTTAATTACACTTTGGAAGGTGTATCAATACACCCAGTCACTACAAAGATACAGCCGTCCTTCTTTAATCAGTTGCCAGAGAGGAAGGAAACCGCTAAGGGATTTTATCATGTGTCACGACTTCCGCCGAGGCTGCCTCCCCTCCTTGTTCGGGCAGGTTTCGGCGTTCGGCGTCACCGGCTTACTAGCTACTGCCGATCCATTTATCATCACTCCATTTGTCTTGTCTTCAATCACACACACCTGGTCCTTATTCCCTCATTAGTCATTGTATAAGTGTTCCCTCTGCTTCCTTGTCTGTGTGGGTGATTGTTATTTGTGGAGGTTAGTGAAGCTCGGTGGAGCTCGTGTACTTTGTTTCAACGGGAGATTTCCCGTGTGCCTTGTATTTTCCAGTGTGCCTGTTTTGTGCCCTGGAGTGTGTTTGACGCATTTCTGCGTAAAACTGTGTCTTTTTGCGGATTAAAGCCTGTGTTTCTGTGATTTACCCTCCTGCACCTGACTCCTTCCACACCACCTCATCACAATCATGAGGCCAATGGTGACTTTAAATCAGTTACAGAGTTGAATGGCTGTGATAGGAGAAAACTGAGGATGGATCAACAACATTGTAGTTACTCCACAAATCTAACCTACAGTGGCTTGTGAAAGTATTCACCCCCTTGGCATTTTTCCTATTTTGTTGCCTTACAACCAGGAATTTAAATGGATTTTTTGGGGGTTTGAATCATTTGATTTACACAACATGCCTATCACTTTGAAGATTACAGCTGCAAGTCTCTTGGGGTATGTCTCTATAAGCTTGGCACATCTAGCCACTGGGATTTTTGCCCATTCTTCAAGGCTAAACTGCTCCAGCTCCTTCAAATTGGATGGGTTCCGCTGGTGAACAGCAATCTTTAAGTCATACCACAGATTCTCAATTGGATTGAGGTCTGGGCTTTGACTAGGCCATTCCAAGACATTTAAATGTTTCCCCTTAAACCACTCAAGTGTTGCTTTAGCAGTATGGTTAGGGTCATTGTCCTGTTGGAAGTTGTATTTAGCGCCATCCATCATTCCTTCAATTCTGACCAGTTTCCCAGTCCCTGCCGATGAAAAACTTCCCCACAGCATGGTGTTCTCAGGGTGATGAGAGGTGTTGGGTTTGCGCCAGACATAGCGTTTTCCTTGATGGCCAAAAAGCTACATTTTAGTCTCATCTGACCAGAGTACCTTCTTCCATATGTTTGGGGAGTCTCCCACATGGCTTTTGGCGAACACCAAACGTGTTTGCTTATTTTTTTATTTAAGCAATGGCTTTTTTCTGTCTACTCTTCCGTAAAGCCCAGCTCTGTGGAGTGTACGGCTTAAAGTAGTCCTATGGACAGAAACTCCAATCTCCGCTGTGGAGCTTTGCAGTTCCTTCAGGGTTATCTTTGGTCTCTTTGTTGCCTCTCTGATTAATGCCCTCCTTGCCTGGTCCATGAGTTTTGGTGTGCGGCCCTCTCTTGGCAGGTTTGTTGTGGTGCCATATTCTTTCAATTTTTTTATAATGGATTTAATGGTGCTCCGTGGGATGTTCAAAGTTTCTGATATTTTTTTATAACCCAAGCCTGATCTGTATTTCTCCACATCTTTGTCCCTGACCTGTTTGGAGAGCTCCTTGGTCTTCATGGTGCTGCTTGCTTGGTGGTGCCCCTTGCTTAGTGGTGTTGCAGACTCTGGGGCCTTTCAGAACAGGTGTATATATACTGAGATCATGTGACAGATCATGTGACACTTAGATTGCACACAGGTGGACTTTATTTAACTAATTATGTGACTTCTGAAGGTAATTGGTTGCACCAGATCTTATTTAGGGGCTTCATAGCAAAGGGGGTGAAAACATATGCATGCACCACTTTTCCATTATTAATTTTTTTAGAATTATTTGAAACAATAATGCCAAGGGGGATGAATACTTTTGCAAGGTACTGTAAATGATAGAATGCAACGAAGGAAGCTTTTACATAATACAAATATTCCAAAAGTAAAACTGCAAAAAAATTGGCAAAGAAATTAACTTTATGTCCAGAATACATTTGTTTGGGGCAAATCCAACACAACACATCACTAAGTACCACTCTTCATACAGTATTTTCAAGCATGGTGGTGGCTGCATCATGTTATGGGTATGTTTGTCATCAGCAAGGACTATGGAGTTTTTTTAGAATAAAAAGAAACGTAATCGAGCTAAGCACAGGCAAAATCCTACAGGAAAACCTGGTTCAGTCTGCTTTCCGACAGACACTAGGGAACAAATTCACCTTTCAGCAGGACAATAACCTAAAACATAAGGTTCCTACATACAGTGGCTGTGGCTTGCTAGATAAAGCAGGGAGCCAGGCATCGAGGCATTCAGTTACTGTTTGATTGAATGTTGGAATGGGCAAAACGAGTGACCTAAGCGACTTTGAGCGTGGTATGATCTTGGGTGCCAGGCGCGCTGGTTCTCAGAAAAGGCCGGCCTCCTGGGATTTTCACGCACGACAGTGTCAAGGGTTTACCAAGAATGGTGCAACAATCAAAAAACATCCA